AATATTTGGCAGAAATACAGCCAACTGACAAAAACTGTTTGAAAACAAATGAATCAAGCTGTGAATCATCTGAATACGAAACTTTTACCAGATGTCGAGAACTGCTCCATGTCAACTCAGAACATATCCTCGTAACTTGGTACAAACTCATAGGCCCATTCTTGATAACTGCTTTGTTAATCACATATAGATGAGATACAGCAGGGTCAGTTACTGACCCTGCTGTATCTCATACTGAACGTCAGTATATACATAAGTAATCAGGACTATGCCCTAATTAATTGTATTGACAGGACCTTCTGGCCAAGCAACATTTCGCCGTTGTAAAAGTCGTCATTTTTGTGGAAATTGTCGGAACTCTAATGTGACTGTTTTAGGTCTATGGTATTAGTGTTTCTGGTATACCACTACTGTTTATGAAAACGGTCGCAAAATGTAAAAACGGAGCTAAAGACGATTCGACCGACGAGCAGCGTCCGGTAACGAACACACAAGACTGCGATAACAAAAAAGAAAAGCGACAATGGCGAGCAGTTCGTGTAATAGCAGATGATTCGGATTGATTTGTGTAGTCTGATGTTTTATTTGTTCTTTCTTTTATGTTCTTATATCATTCATTAATTATTATTCATTAGATCAAAACTACTCTAATTTTGTTCCTAATCTAAATAAACTATTCGATAACATCCCGTAGATGCTATGAGGATTCTAATAGCTTCTCCATCCTAGATTACCTATGGTACTCAATTTTCAACCATCCACAACATTTCTCTCAAGAATTCCAAGAGTTATTAAGCTTTTGATTTCTTCGCGTGGACATACAAACATTTTATTTATATAGCCCTGACTAACGTCAAGGGAATAAGTTAAACATCAACGCTTTGACTAACAACCTGTCGAGCAAGATCAAAACATCATTACTGACCACGAACGACACAAAAACGGTCTGTTCGACTTTCATCACATTCAGCAGAGGGAAAAAGAGTATTTTTGATAATGGCGATTCCTTTCCAGTCAAGGGATAAGTGAATCAGCATGATGAACGCTACTTGTGAATAGAAAGCAGTAATGGTGACACAGTTGCTTGAAAACTTGGGTCTGATTCTTCATCCGATGAACCTTCTTTGATAGATTTTTTGTTCGACCATCGCCGTTGTTCAGCAGCATAACATGTTTCACGTAGCAAATCGTTTTCTTTGAGTGTAGATACTTTTCTTTTCTAACGTTTTCGAATGTATTTGTTGATTGATAAGGCTATTTCAGCCGTCACTTTTCTTTTCCCTACTGGTACTGATGACAGAATTGCACCTCGCTTATGGCGAGGGTGCGCAGTAGGATGTGCACAAGTG